TTTGAAAGGGGCGGAAAAGGGTGGCAATGCGAATGCGAGAGATGCGATAGATTGAACGAAAGGGTGAGAATGTGTCCTAGAACAGCGTGCGTGCGAAGAATGTGAGACAGATAGTGTGAAAAAAAAAAAATAGTAAACGAGGCGTAAAGGATCACAGCGGCGGTTCCTTCCGCCGCCTTTCGGCATAGGGCTTCGTCCGCGCGAAGTAGCGTCTCGAGAGACGAAATCGTGATCCGCGCGGCAGATCGTGGATCCGTGGATTACATTTAACGTCTATCCGCAGCTATTAACTGTATCGGGGAGGCTAATCAGGATCGAGGGATCGCGACGATCCCGCTAGATCGGCGACGATGACGCGCGAGCTCGCCCCCGCTCATCCGCAAGTTCGTGCGCCGATCGTCGCGAGGTCTCGCGGCTGTAAAAATCGCTACGGGCGATTTTTCGTACGAGCCCCGAGTACGAACGTTGTCTTGTTGTCTTTTGTCTCGGATGTGAGAGACGCCTCGTCTTCGAGGACATGTTCATCGGCTACGGAGCGAACACGGACGTTCCTCTTCGCGGATGTCGCCATGACCTATGCGGCCCCCGTATTAACTTGCCCGCGTGCGTGTGCGTCTTCTCTTCGTCCGAGTTGAAGAAAGACAACAAACACACACACACAAAAAAAAGATAGAGCAGAGATTATTATATACATATATATATATTACATATTATATATATAAATATGTTACACGCGAAGAAAGGAGGCGGTCGCGTGTAACGCGATCCTCTCACCCCTCGATCTACGTTTCCGTAAGATCATTGTTTTCTAGCGATTTGTTAATTTGATTTCTGTCTGCGACAAATTTTTATAGACAGCGCAGAGAAGCGGTCGTCGTCGTCGTCGTCATTGTACGTGTGCGTACCTCGTCTCGCGGTTATCGATATCACCGACGCTCTCTCGCATTCAATGAGAATGGATCACCGTCGCAGTTCTCTCATTGTAACTCGCAAATCTTTTTACAAACAAATCGCGACGATCGCGATAAATCGAGACGGTTCGCGTGGGGAGATCGCCGGAATGCGAGATGCGTCGGTGCATAGTCGCGAGCGTGTAAGAGCGAGCCGAGCGAGTGAGAGAAGCGGCTTTTCAATCACCCTCCCCCATTTTTCTTCCGATCTTTCCCGTATTGTCCTCCCTCCCTCCCTCCCTCCCTCCTTCCTTCCTTCCCTCCTTCCTTCCTCATCGACGACGTTTCCTCCCGCTCGAAGTCTCACCAATAGATCTGAATGACTGCCTCTGATTACTTTGTATCTTTTTACCTATGTCCCCTGACTTCCCTCGTGGTATCATCTCGCGACATCGAGATTACCCCCTCATTGGTCCCCGTTTGCGCGCGCCAATCAAGTCGCGAGTTGATCTCTTTTTTTTTTCCTCGGCCGTGCGCGCGACCGAAGCCCCGCTTCTTCACGTTCTCTCGTTATTTCTTCTCGTTAATTCTCTTTTCAGTTCTCCCTTCTATATGTATTTTTTTTTTATTTAATTTTTATTATTACTTTTCTTCCCTCCCCCCCTAACGTGTTTTGCGCTCCCGTGCGCGGCCTCGGTCGCGTCGCAATCACGCGACGAACTCCGGACTCGTGTAAAGTCGACGTAACGACTCCTCGTGGACGGCGTCCTCGGTCCCGCGAACCTCCTCCTGGCGCCTCGATGCGATCGTTCGGGAATCGTCGATCTGTCTCGTGGACGAGCAACAGACGTCCGCAGCGCGGACGAGACTCTCGGGAGCTCTCGCCGAGGACGATTCGCGGCACCGGCGAGGAGAACTCATTCCCGCGGGAGTGGGATCGAAATAAACGGTGTGGGGGTGAACAGACAGATGACGAAGATAAGAGGACGATAAGGACGTCCGCGGTCGTCATTACGTCGACTCAAAATGACGGCGCAGAAATGCGTGTTCGTTCTGCTTCTCTTGTCTCGAATGCGAACGATAAAGAAAGAGAGAGAGAGAGAGAGAGAGGAGATTTAAAAAGAAAGAAAAAAAGAGGAAACGAAAGAGCCTTTTTTTCTCGGCCGACCGTGGACGGCCGAACGTGGAGAGGAGGAGAAAGATTGATTATATGCTAAAGAGTAAGCGATGCGCAATTTAACTATAATGAATTGATGTAAGCGAATGGAAAAAAAATCGATACTTTTCATTGAGATGATATCTGGATTTCAATAAACTTGATACCTCGAAACTATTCGGATAATCGACCCGGAGAGCGAGCGGTATTACCGGTAACCACACGGTGAAAACTTTGCCACCGGCGCTACCGGTGATACTCTCTTCTCGATGGGGCTTCTTATTTCACTTCTTCTCACCGATTCCAATAACCGCAGTTCCGTTCGTCTGCCGATTATGTCGGAAGACTCGTTCAATTCAATCTGCGAATTTTTTTTATTTATTTATGGTCACGCCGACAGATTTTGCCGCGCGTTTTTTCTGGATCGACAACGATCAAGAATACGGACTTGTTATGTAAATCGTTGTACAAGTAAGTATTATCTGTAACTGTGTTCGAAGTGCGAATCAAACCAGTGTCGACGATGAAAAGTATTGCCGGAAGTATTTCGCGGAATCCCAAAACCAGCAGCGCAGAAGAGACTTGCGGGGAGACCGATCCTGAACTGATAGAAGTAAGAGCAAAGGAAAGATTTCGTATTTTGAAAGAAGTGTATGTACGTATGAAAGGAGAGAGAGAGAGAGAGAGCGAGTGCGTGCGAGAGAGAGAGAGAGAGAGAGAGAGAAGAAGAAGATAGTACAAGACAATAATCGCTCATACAACTAAACGTATAGTAATAAATTAATAAATATAACAACAAATATAGACTATACGTAAGTAATATTATTTATTTTTTTTTGTTTTTTTTTTTTTATTTTTGCGTAAGATGGGCGATTACCTCCTTACAAAATCGAGATGAGACACATGGACTAATTACATGTGATTATTAAATGGAGTATCAATTAATATTACGGATGATGAAAAAAATACTGTAAGAGCGTTTCTATTATACAAAACATTGATGTTACGGTGAGTTACGACCGGATGAAGGAATTTATGGACATAAATAAAGATATGAAATGAGAAGTTCGAAGCTAAAATTGAGGCTGAAACAAAGACACGACCGAGATAACGAGGAAGCCAGCGAGGATTGACTTGGAAATTAGATACGATTTCAAGAACGTTCGGAAAGTGACATCGTTTATGAAAATTGTTTTGAATTTCGCGCTTCCTCTGGACGTGAAATGTGTGGACTTATTATACAAAGTTCGGAGAGCATCTAGAAACCGTTGCGATTGACCGCAAAGAAAATCTGAGAGAGGCACGCTATAGATCCCAACTCGATTATTCTAATTTCCGTTTGCACGAAGTAAGATTAAATTAAATCCATAATTTCTGAAGAATATCATGAATATCAGATAAGTAATAGACAGAGATTATCGAGATCGTTAATCGACAGGCAATCTGGTGATGTAAAATATGTACACACATATATATATATATATATATATATATATATAGAGAGAGAGAGAGAGAGAAGA